TAGCCTAACCTAGTATCTGCGTATGTAAACTTGCCAGCTGTCAATTGTGGCCTTTGCTTTAAATTTGTGCGTACGGATGAGTTACATAGAAGCTGCAGCATAAGCACACATGGTTTCCATCTGAGGTGTTTAAAGAGGCACTTAGGTGTCGACTCGGCTCAGAATTTGGATTCTATTGCATGCATTACTTACACAAAATCTGCACTCAACACCACTCAGGGAACATCGGCAGTGAGTACTCCTTCATCCGCCGACCTTCCGAATATTGGAGCACAACTTACATCATTAAGCGCACTAGTTTCAACATTCAACAACAAGATTGACGGGATGGAGTCTGCGTTTCGCGATGTCTCGTATATTAAGCAGCAATTTGCTGGGCTATATGAGCTAAAGACAAATGTCCGTGGGTGTCTTGGCAAGCTAAATGCCTTAACGGATAAGATCACTGCTGTCGAAGAAACTACAGTCAATCTGAGGCGCGGACAAGAAGAGCTGGCTGGAAGAATAGTTGTAGTTGAGACTCGCGTTACTGATATAGGAACGGCCTCTACGGATCGGCTCTCGGCCTTAGAAAACCGTCTTTCTATGCAGTCACATAGTGCTGCAGACTTTTCGACTGCTGTACAACCTCTGGCTACACGTCTACGGTCCCTAGAATATGAAAGACACTCTACGTCGCTCACGATTTTGGGCGTGCCTGAAAAGGATGGTCTAAGTGATCGGGATTTAATTCTAACAATATTCGCGAACTTAGGATTAACTGTAGACACTATACAGATCTTTGACTTTACACACATGCGCAACACCATAATGACCGAAAAGCCGAGAATGATTCGTGTTCGTCTATGTTCTTCCGGGCTACGAAACTCAATTCTTGCAGTCAAGCGCTCGAAAGGCATCATAAAGGCGAGGGAAATTAATGCTGCCTTCCCTGAGACTGCTATCTACGTAATGAATTTTTACCCTCAGCCCTACATAAGCTTCTGCGAGCTACACGGGTTGCCGCGAAGGCCAAGGACTACCGACATGTCTGGGTACGGAACGGAGTCATTAGAGTGAAGAAAGACAATGAAGCTACTGCTGCAGAAATTTCGACTCTTGAGGATATTGAGCGAATCTTATGATGCACAAAATCTCCACCTCCTGCCATGTCTCCCTCTCTGGATGGGAACACGAATTTTCTTAACATTTGTCACGTGAATGCTCAATCCCTTGTTGCACACTTCGTTGAGTTGCTGAATCACTTCTGTAGGACAAATTATGATATCATCCTAGTTTCTGAATCATGGCTAAAACCGCATATTAATGACAGCATTGTTTTCCTTCCTGGTTTCAATCTCTTTCGTTGCGACAGAATTGGTAAGCAGGGCGGTGGAGTATGTATATTTATCCGGAATACGTTATCTAGTAAAGTTGTAAAATTCCTCATCCTCATCCTCGCCAATCTATGAATCGCGCCCTGAGTTTCTTTTCGTTGAGGTTCAGGGACATAACTCGGCTAAGCTTCTGATTAACGTTGTATATAGACCACGAAAGATTGCTTTCTCCAACTATCTTGAAACTGCTCTCTCCTCCTTTTGTCAAGATTATGCATCTAAAATTATCAAGGGTGACTGGAACGCCGATCTTTGTACTGACAAGTCCGATAGCACGTACGTCCAGAGGCTATTCAATTGTTTTAATTTTCACCTCATTCCCTATCACGCTACACACTGTACCTCTACCTCTGCTACATGGCTGGACCTGTGTATTGTGGATTCTGCAGATAAGGTTATACGCCACGGTCAACACCATTTTCCCTGCCTCTCAGCTCATGATCTGATACTTATTAGTTATAAGCTAAAGCACGCAAGAGCTTCAAAACCAGACACAGTGAAGCGTCGGGACTATCGGGGATTACAAGACCCTCGATTCCAGGCGTTACTGGAAAATCTTGACTGGTCACCTTTGGTAGCGGCCACGGATTCATACAACAAGCTAGCGTACCATAACGAGCGGATGACAGATCTTCTGAATGAAGTCGCTCCATTGCGGGAAATTAAAGTTAAACGTCCCTCCGCGCCGCGGATAACTAATCAAACTAATCAGCTCCGCGAATTAATGCGCTCTCGTAACAGGCTACGTGCAATAGCTAGGCGGACGGGCGCTGAGGCGGCTAGGCTGGAGTATGGGCGTCTCCGAAACTGCGTGAAAGCTTCAATCGTACAAGCTAAGACTGAATACTGCACTGGCCGCCTAGCCCAAGCTAAGGACACTAGGCAAGTCTGGCAGGAGTTGCGAAGACTCGGCGTGTCACCCAACTCCAATCGGTCTCATGTTACCACTGTATCACCGGAAGCTCTGAACATGTCCTTCTGCGCAGTATTTGGCCCACAATGTGCATATCCTCCTGATGCGACTTCTCGGGATGAGACGTTTAATGATAGTAATCTCTATTTTAAATATATTACCGTTGACCGTCTACTTTGACATTTCAGATTCGCCGATTCGCATGTGCCAGGTTCAGACAATTTCTCCGGGCGTTTTCTAAGACACTGCGCAACCTCCATTTTTCCAGTGTTGTTGGATCTGTTCAACTCTTCCCTTTCCACAGCTGTCTTTCCGACACCCTGGAAAGATATTATCATCGTCCCTTTGCCAAAGAAGACCCACGCATCAGAGCCTGGTGACTACAGGCCCATTTCGCTCCTTTGTGAGTTCTCTAAGGTACTTGAAAGAATCGTATGCAAAGATATGAGGGACTATCTTGAGCGAAATGGCTTCTCAGATCCATCTCAATTCGGGTTCAGTACAGGTGGCTCTACTCAAAGCTCTCTTGGCAGAATCACCGATGATGTACGTCGAGCTATAGATGACAGAATGATAACCGTGTTGGTACTCTTTGACTTCTCGAAGGCATTCGATACGGTAGACCATGCGCGTCTTATACAGAAACTTGCCCTTCTGAATTTCTCTCGGTCCACTCCTAATTAGTTTTGGTCATACTTAACTGGGCGAAGACAGGCTGTTCGGACATCTAGCGGGATTTCTTCCTGGTCAGCCATTACATCGGGGGTCCCCCAAGGCTCAGTTTTGAGTCCCGCTCTATTTTCATTCTACGTTGCGGATATCGATTCTAGTGTACTAAACTGCTCGTTAGTAAAATATGCTGATGACTTGCAGATATATGCTCACCGTCTACCAGCATCCCTGAATGAATGTGTAGCCAAGATTAATCAGGACATCGTGCGCATCTGTGAATGGGCTGATCGAAACAAATTACAACTGAATCCGAGTAAGAGCAAGGCTATAATCCTTGGCTCCGCCAGATATATCAATACACTTGTTGTAAACCGCGATGCGAGAATAATTGTAAATGGATCCGTAATTCAATACGAGAGCTCTGTTAAGAGTCTTGGGATTGTCATCACACCCTCTCTTAACTGGCGTGAGCAGGTTACTGTCAGCTGTAATAAGGTGTATAAAACCCTTTATCAATTGAGGGCAAAGGGGCACTTCTTAACGAGAAGACTTAGACAATAACTGGTCCTAGCTCTTATTCTCTCGATCATCGACTACTGCTCTCTAGTCCTATTAGATATCTAGGATGAGGAGAACACAAGACTGCAGACGGCCCTAAATGCGAGTGTCCGGTTTATTTGTAGTATACGTAAACACGACCACATTACTCCACATCTCATCGCACTGAGATGGCTAACAGTTCGACAACGTCGACTCTACTTTCTCAGTGCGTTAATTTGGCAAGTGGCTCTCCGAAATCCACTCGCCTTTCTTGCGGGGAAGTTAAAATTAAAATCAAATAGGCCTGACTGCCCGTACCCCACCCGCTCGCATGCCCTAGACTTCTGCGTCCCTAAGTGTCGGACTTCCACGTGGCACCTTTCGATAGAAGTGTTCGGGGTTAGGTTTTGGAACTCACTTCCTATGGCACTTCGTCAAAAACGAACACTGGAAACATTTAAAACTGCATTACATGGGTACCTTATATCTACTCCATAATGCTTAGTAAGAAGTAAGTTAGTGTAAGTTAGTGTAAGCTTAGTTATAGATGCAGTTTTTAGCAGTTGTAATTTCTCAATTACTGTCACTCCCTCTCACTCCCTCACTCCCTCTCTCTCTCTCTCTCTCTCTCTCTCTCTCTCTCTCTCTCTCTC